CCCTCCTCTTCCTGCCCGCGCTTCGGGGGGGGGCGGGCGGCCGCTGCCCGGCCGGAGCGGGGACAATAGGGCCGGGCCCGGCCCGGTGCTTTGGTCCCCCGGGCGAGGGGCCGGCCCGGGCAGCGCGGGGGGGGGGGAGCTCCCCGGGGCCCCCTGCCCGGACAGCCGCGGTCCCCTCCCGGTGGACAAAGCGGCGGCGGGGGGCTCAGCCCGGTCCCGGGGGCAGGTCCCGGCCGGCCCCCGCCGGTGCCGAGCAGGAGGCGGCGGCACGGTTTTGGTTCTGAAACAGTCGGTTATCGCGGAATAAAGCGTGTTTCCCGGGTGGGTGGCGGTCGCGGGATTAACCGCCTCGCGGCGTGGGCTCCCGGGCTGGCAGCCAGGTACGGCCCGGCCCGCGGTCCCTTCCCCGCGGTCCCGACCGCGCCGCGGTGCCGCACACGCCATCGGGGCAGTGCGAGGCGGCGTGAGGAGCTGCTCCGCCGCGGTTGTGCGCTGTGGGCGTGGAGCAATGAAATATGGTGCTTTACAGGCATGGAAGAAGATGAGTCAGCACCTCAGGGAGTTTACAACCGCGGGCCCGGAGCCTGCGATTAACTGTGCAGGAGCCAGAGGGAAAGGAATTTCCGTAGCCCCAGCGCCTGGGTGCCCGCCGTGCGCAGGGAGCGAGTGGGAGACCCGGCCGGGCGATGGGGTGTCCCCCGCGCGGGGCAGTGCCGTCTCTGGTAAGCGATGCTGGGTTTAGAAAAAGCTTTTTTCAGCTCCAGGTCGGCGCGTTGGGCTGTCCCCGCTGCAGGAGATAGGGTTGCTGCTGGGGAGCCCCTGCATGATGGAAGGGGTGAATCGCCGCTTCGTTAGCGGAGCAGCGGGGCCGACTCGGTCTGTAGGACACGCCTGGGTCAGTACGGGGTGATTGTCCTAGGTCGAGCGCTATCACCTTTTATTGTTTTCTCTTTGCAATTCCTGTGGTTGCTCGCTCACCGGGAGAACGGTTAGAAGCATTTTTTTAACCGAAGGTGACACAGAAATGCAACCCAGCACTGCGCTTTTTCTTTCTTTAATTTACCTTTCGTCAGCTCTGCTCTTTGTGTGCAGCACGTCTTAAATTTTAGTAAAAAAAGTGTGCGACTTTCTGTCCCCGCGCGCATGAACCATGTGCGCGCACAATACGGCATTCACGGTGGTGTGCGTGCAGCTCAAGTGACCGGCCGTGCCGAGTGCCGGGGGTGAGGAGCGCGTGGGGCTCGCCCGGCCGCCGGGGTCTGCCTCGCCGCCGCTGAGAGTCGAACACCGCCGGGAAACGAGCCCCGATTCAGGTAATGCCGGGTGGGCTCTTCTCCCAGCCAACCCTTGGTGCTGGTGTTCCTGAGCTCCCCGCGAGGATGCAGGAATAGAATAGCTTGTTCTCTTCCTTCCCGGAGTGAAGAAGAAAAGGCTGGTGTGAGCGGAGGTGCGCTGAGGCCGGGCATAGGAAGCGGGAGCAGCGCTCGGCATTCGGGTCTCTTTGGGGACGGCGTGTGTGCAGCGTTTGGGAGGCTGGTGCCTGGCGCGGGGCTGCGCCAGCAGCTTTGTCCCTGACCCTTCGTGGCCAGCCCTGGGCAGCTCATTTCCAGCAATACCCCACGTTTCTTTAATGCTGCGCAGTCCCAGCGCCTCCCACGTTCCCGCTCACGCCTCCGCGTCGACGGGGAGTTGGGCCCCCTTCGCCTGTCCGGGGGGGGGGAAAAGGCTGCGCTGCTCCGTGGACTGGAAATCTCCTTTATATCCCTGGGGGTTTACTGGGAACCGGTCCTGATCAGCACCTGGGCTGCGGTGGGCTCCATGCTTTCTGCCAGTTCTCCCCAGTTTGGAGCTGCAGGTTATTTTGCGTAGCTTAAAAGCTGCGTGCGATGGCTGCGGGCAGAGCGGGTGTTTCCTCAGAGCGCAAAGCACACCAAGGCCTGGCTGTTGTCCGTTCTGGGGCAGCAGCTTTCTCTGGTTGATCACAGGTTTCCCATTAGTTGATGGCTTTAATGGAGCCATGTGATTAAATGAAAAATTTCTCTTCTTCTCAGTAAAGAAAAGGGAAAGGGAACAAATCACTCTGAGCATTAAAAAAGCCTGAACTCGTGGCTTTGAAGATTTGCAAAAACAGGAAGCAAATAAAAAAATCCTACATTTGTTTACATGTTAAAATCTTGTGAGTTTTTATGTTGCAATTCAGATCTTTTGCTCTTGGGCTCGGCAACAGCAAAATGATCTTGCTGAAATCACAGCTGCCTACCCCTTCCCAGTGCCAGGGGTGCCGGCCCAGCGTTGCCCGGCTTTCTCTTTGGCATTTCAGGATGTTTTAGTGATGAAAAAAAAAATTGTCCGTGAGCGCCTTTTGCCCCTGCCCGTCTGCCTTCTGCTTATGCCTCCAGCTCCCCTGGGAAGGGCAGGGATGGCGTCTGCACGATGGGACTGAGGGCAAGGAGGGCTGGGGCTGCAAAGGGGAAACCCCGGGGAGTTACGGGTCCTGGCGTGACGGGATGTCCCCTTTCTGCTGAGTCGGCCAGGGGGGACCGTCCCAGCGATGGCGCTTCCCCGGGCATCGCAGCCCCGAGCCACCGCAGAGGCTGCACCAGCTCTGGCTGGGGCAGAGCTCCCCGGGGAGGTGCGGGAGGAGATGCTCACCCGCTGCTGCCAAAGCTGCGGCTCCACCTGCGAGTGCCTTTGGGCTGAATTCAGTGTTCTCCATCCCTGACAGAGACTTCACCTTCCCAGAGAAACTTGGGAACATGCAGTAAATAGCTTGGCTGCCACATTCCCCAGCTCCAGCCGAGCTAAGTGGCAGCAGAGCCAATAAACTCAGCAGTCGCTGAGAAAACCTTTGGCATCTTAAAAATGAGACTCAGACTCCTGAACTCATCTGGTGCAACATAATTTTGTAGCTCTTCCCGAGTATGCCAGACATCCCAGGAATGCCATGTATCCTGCGTTATGTTGGTAGTGGGGGGCTGTCACGCTGGGGTGGAGGTTTGCTGTCAGAGGAAGGTGTTCACCCAAAGACCAGAGCTTCCCGATGAAATGGATGGTGCCTCTGGCAGGTCAGGGGGTTTGGACCAGGCATATGACCAGGGCTGCAGGAGCAAGCGTGGCGGGGCTGGGCATCAGCCAGGGGCAAGACCCTGTCCTGTCAGGCTTTGTACCAGCAGTGAGGGATGCAGCTGCTCCCCGGGGGCTTGCAGAGCGAAGAGCCCTGGCTGGGGAGGTGCAGGGTGGGGGTCAGGGCCATGGCTATTGCCACAGGATGCTTGGTCCCCGTCTTTGTGCCTGCACCCACCAGGAAGAAGGAATGTTGCCGGGGTGCCCCACGCTTCCCTCCAGTGCTGCGGGCTCGGGGCTTTCCTGGGTCAGGGTTAGTAGTAACGGGGTTTTCTGAGGGGCTGCCAAGTGTGCACAATATTCCTGACTTCAAAGGATGAAGCTGGGGCCAGCCTGGGGAGCGGCTGGGCCATGGTAGCCATGTTTGTTGTGGGCAAATGGTGGTTGTTTTCCCAAGGCATCAGCCAATTGAAGCACAGAGATCTGCATATCATTTGGGCACCGCAGCCGAGTGCAGCCGGGTATGGAACCGTGCAGCTTGCAGGATGGGATGACCAGAGAGCACGTCGTGTCCGGGCCCCGTGGCTGTGTGTGGGAATTGTAGGGGCACATGCCACCCCCAGACTGGGCATTTCAAGAGGCAGCAGTTTTCCTGCAAACTGTGTGTATATCATAAATAAATACGTGCATGTATATGTTTGTTGTTATGTTACCATCTTGGAGCAGTTGGGACCCCTGTGTAGCAAGCATCTTTCTAGTGCAGGAAAAAGAAAGGGAAGCAAATGGTGTGGAAATGCATAGCAAATTGGGATGCAATACACAGCAGGGCTCTCCCTGCTGTGTGACCCCCAGCCCCGGGGAGGGGGGCAGTGAGGAATGAATTACTTGGGGATGGGGGGGCGGGCGGAGATGCAGCACTCGGCAGAGCAGGGATCTCGGATGAGCCCAGCCACGCATCAGGCAGCGACAGCGTCCACCAGCACAAACCAGTGCTGGGTTTGCTGGCACGGCCAGGCAGGGCTTTGTCTGTCGGGTAAATGTTTGGTGGAAATGTTGCGTGGTGAAAGCATACGAGGTGTTAGCTGCAACGGGAGGGGCCGGGAAAGACTCAAAGAAGGACACGCAAAATTTGACAGTGTCTTCTGGATGCCAGGGTTTGCCTGGGGGGAGGCTGGGCTGGAGACTGTTCCTGGGCTGGGGAGCGGGGGCTCAGCAGCCGGTTTAGGCTGTCACAGCTCTGCGTGTCTGTGGGGTTAAACCTCCTCACACCCACGGGGGAAGGATCTGCCTCACCCGTCCAGCCTGGCACTTCGAAGCATCCATCATTCCGGGGCTGTAT